TGCGACCATACCCGAGGCCACAACATCTTGGTCTTCACATCTTCAATCATAGGGAAGGTTAGTAGGATTCAAATGTATCCAAGGCTGATCTAATTTCCCAGTTAAAAATACGGTTTTAATTGTAACCAATGGGGGATAAAAATTGGGGGATATTGGCATTAGTTGCATCAAAAGCCTTGAGTATGGAGTGCAAGCAGCGTGCTAAGAAATTAAGCCCAATAGAACAAAAGCTAAAGCCTAAAATATATTAAGTAATTTCGAAAAATATTTATCTGATATCCCCATATATAAGATAAAAAGACGTATGCAAAAGAGGATCTCATCTTCGATGGGGTTAAAATGAAATTTTTTGTCTACCTAAAAATGCTCACACATTTTCAACAGAGAATAGTCGAATATAATGGGATAAACTAGGTTTTCGAAACCAAGAGTCAACTTGTTGGGTTAGGACACTGACTTTTTAGCGAAATACTAGTATACACATAGTATATACACACTACTCGACTTGATTCAAGTAACTTATGCTAAGTTAACTTTAGCGAATGACAATGATAATTACATAAAAGCTTATGACACTGGCCGACCTGCAGGTAGTGCCCATTTAACTCAATGGGCAGATCTGCTTTCTTGCAAAGGTCACGAAATCGCCATTTTCGTTTTCCAACAGTGACCTCAAGGCGCAGGATCTTTCCAATCAGATTCAGATGGTCAAGGAGGGCACGAGGCGTTAAAATACCCGTCGGGGTGCGCAGAGTCTGGCGTCGCGAAGAAAGACTGTCCGACTGTCCGGTCTGACTACGAGTCCGTCCAAGCGAGGCTACTTGAAGAACTGACTCCATGGAAGCATATGAAAGACCCGGCGATACGGACGGCGTGACCAACTCATCAAAGTCGTGTTCATTCAGGGAAAAAGTTGTAGCTTCAGCGGCATCAGGAAAGTCATGGTCTTCAAATGAAGCTCTTGGTCCGAAATGAACAGGTGAACCTGGCCAGTCAGGATATCGGGCTAGTGCTGCTGCCAAGTATTCTCGCTCCTCGCGAAGGCGTTCATTCTCTGGTGTATGAAATAGAAATTAATAAAATTCTAAATAAAATAATAGATAATAAAGCAAATTAATATGAAGAAAGAATTTATCCCAATAACCTCTATCCAAACATTACTTCGGTTTCCAAGGTGCAATAGCATTGGTTGATAAGAATGCTGATTTGAAAGAAATAATGACTTGGCTTGAAATTGGGCATTGTTGAGCTCTTTTACTCCACGACTAGCTTGACAATCATCATAGAAGAAAGCTCAGAGCTTGTCTTTTTTAAGGCTGCCTCCCAAAGTACTCTCGGTTGAATAGAACATTCGAGGAAATTGCTCAGAGTAGGCTGAATTCAGATAGGTTGGCAATTTATATGAGATGTATTTATCATATTTTGTTAGAGGTGATGAAAGACTGGCAGTTGAATTTACCCGCAATCATATGAGTGGTCTTTACGTTTCCATTGAATTTCACGGTCTTGCTTCTCAAAAGGTATTCTTATCCAGGCAAGAATG